AGCACAATGTGGAAGAAGAAATTATATGTAAATATTTAGTAGGATGTGATGGTTGTCATTCTGCCGTCAGAAAAGGAGTAAAGGATTGGACTTTTGAAGGTGTGATTAATTTATATGAATAGATTTAATTAATTTTTTACTGTTCTTTTTAGTAAAACTCGTACATAATTCAAATTTATTTTTCCTAGGTCAGGCATTGAAATCTTCCTGGGCTTTAGCTGACGTAGAAGTTGATCATGAATTGCTTAAATATGACCATGCAACGGCTTTCCCAACTAATGATGGTACCTTTATTATTTACATTTTATACGTTTAATTTTCATCAAAATAAATATTTTAACGAAATATACTATGTTACTTTACTAGGGCCTATTGTGCTAATACCATTGGATGCTAGAAAAAATACTTACCGTATCGTTGCAAAAATTTCTGACGAAGAGAATAAACCTGAAACTAATGATCAAGTTACGCATGGTCTCACAAATGAAACGCATATTACGCTGGAAGAGTTGCAGAAACTATTTGATGAGAGAATTGCCCCGATTAAAATGGAACTAAAGAATCCAGTATGGATTTCCAATTTCAAGATTAACGAAAGAATTGTAAATAGATATAGAACAGGAAATGTGTTCGTCGCTGGAGGTAAATAAAAATTTACTTGTTTAATTTGTTCGTATTGCAATCATCATTAATAATTATCATTAATGTAATATCTATTAAAAAAAAAAAAAAGATGCTGCTCACTGTCATTCGCCATTTGGTGGTCAAGGAATGAATTTAGGAATTCAAGACGCTCATAATTTGGCATTCAAATTGGCCCTAGTTATTAGAGGTCAGACAGCTGACACTAATAAACTTCTTGATAGTTATGAAAAAGAACGGTACCCCGTTGGTAAAAGTATTGTTGAAGGTACCGGTTTTGTTACAAAAATGTTGGCTGCTAAAGATTTTATTAGCACATTCCTCCGAACGCGCGTTGTTCCTTTAATGTTCCATTTCTTCCCCCAAACTGCATTTAAATTCCAAAACAATTTATTTCAAACCAATCTTAATTACTTGCCTGAATCTTCCGATATTCTTCACAAGTATACACCTCGTTCAAGCGCTGAAAACAAATTGATCAAAGCAGGTCATTACGTACTAGATGGATTATTAAAGAAAATTACCCCTGATAA